CCCCCGAGCTCCCCGTGTCTCATGTCTGTTCAAACATTATAAATCACGCACCACATAAACAAATCACAGTTGCCAGGCCTCAGAGTGTTTGGAAATTGTCCCAAGCAGAGAAGCATTCAGCGCCTCAGCCGCCTTCACCCTGTGTAACCAGGCTTCCTTGGTGGGAATCTCTGTCTTTTTCCAAAAACCAGGAGTCAGGGCCTTAGCTGCATTAAGCAAATGGTGTAAGATGGATTTCTTGTAAGCCGAAAAAGGTTTTGAAGACATGTGTAGCAGAGCAAGCTCCCCCGACCACTCAACCGAATCCCCGAGGATATCAGTCACCTCGTCCCTCATCATTTCACAAAAGGGGAAAATTCCCTGACATTCCCACCATAGATGCAACATCGTGCCTCTGTCAGCCTGGCATCTCCAGCAGGTGGGCGGCACATTAGGAAAGATCCTGTGGAGAAGGATCGGCATCCTGTACCATAGTAATATTAGTTTATAATTAGTTTCCTGGTACTGTGAGCTTATAGAGCACTTGTGTTACCACACCAGCACCTTGTCCCACTGTATAGCTCAAAAAGATTTACCGATTAGTTCTTCTCACTGCCTTTGGAACCTATAGTTCACGGGGCTATTTCCAACCAGGAGGTGTTGATAGCTTTCTCAAGCATGGAACCCTGCAAGCTAACCTCCTCCAGCCACGTGAGGCTCCTGTACAGTTTATCCCTCTGTGTTAACGTATGAATATAGTTCTGTAGTTGAATATACCGAAGAGTGGTCAGGGGGGTTCGCGGTCTACCCCCCAGAAACACATCCGATGCAAGGAACTGTCCATCCTGTAACCCTATGAATAGGGATATAGTCTCCCCCAGGCCGAAGGTGGCAACCCCCCACCAAGTTTAGTGTAGAGGATTCAAGAACACAGACCATTGCAGAGAAGGGTAAAACTCATATATTGTATGGAGAGCAAAAAACGGGTCCCAAGAGTATTCTGAGAAAGGACAGCAACTAAAATAGCCTGCCCGTCGGTGGGTCCCCACTCAGAACTCAAGCTGGTTTTAGCTCATCTTGTGCCATTACCGAGAGAATATATCTGAAGCATATCAGACTGGTCCCAACCATACAGGCAGTCCAGATCCAAAATGCCAGCAAGTTCTCTCTGCACGAGAGACACAGCAACCCCAGAGGATTGTTTCAGCCTTGTTAGGCATCATAAGTGAGGCATAGCTGATATCTCTCTAGGCACCGTGAGCAAGGGGTCCACGTCTGGATTACCCGTTAAACTTATGAAGAGCAAAAAACGGGTCGCAAGAGTATTCTGAGAATGGACAGCAACTGAAATAGCCTGTCCTTCGGTGGGTCCCCGCTCAGAACTCAAGCTGGTTTTAGCTCATCTTGTGCCATTACAGACAGAACATATCTGAAGAATATCAGACTGGTCCCACCCATACGGGCAGTCCATATCCGAAATGCCAGCAAGTTCTCTCTGCACGAGAGACACATCAACCCCAGAGGATCGTTTCAGCCTTGTTAGGCATCATCAGTGAGGCATTGCTGATATCTCTCAAGGCACCTTGAGCAAGGGGTCCACGTCTGGATTACCCTTTAAACTTTTAGAGAGCAAAAAACGGGTCGCAAGAGATGTTGCCTAACAAGGCACAAGATGAGCTAAAACCAGCTTGAGTTCTGAGCGGGGCTCCTAATCTCAGCTTGTTACATGTATAAAATCCACCTGTCCCCAGAAGCAATCAATCAGATTACAAACTCTCCACCATGGCCAAGACCAAATACCTGTCCAAGGATGTCAGGGTGTGAATGACTGAAAACCTGCAGCGCCCGCAAGGTCCCCCTGCTCAAGAAAGCACATGTATAGGCCTGTCTGAAGTTTGCCAATGAACATCTAAATGATTCAGAGGAGAACTGGGTGGAAGTGTTGTGGTCAAATGAGACCAAAATTAAGCTCTTTGGCATTAACTCGCCGTGTTTGGATAAGGAGAAGGAATGCTGCCTGTGACCCCAAGAACACCATCCCCACCGTCAAACATGGAGTAGGAAACATTATGCTTTGGGGGTGTTTTTCTGCTAAGTGGATAGGACAACTGCACCGCATCAAAGGGACGATGGACAGAGGCATGTACCGTCAAATCTTGGGTAAGAACTTTCTTCCTCAGCCAGAGCATTAAAAATTGGTCGTGGATGGGTATTCCAGCATGACAATGACCCAAAACACATAGCCAAGGCAACAAGTGGCTCAAGAAGAAGCACATTAAGGTCCTGGAGTGGCCTAGCCAGTCTCGTCTCCAGACCTTAATCCCATAGAAAATCTGTGGAGGGAGCTGAAGGTTCGAGTTGCCAAACGTCAGCCATGAAACCTTAATGACTTGAAGAGGATCTGCAAAGAGGAGTGGGAGAAAATCCCTCCTGAGATATATGCAAACCTGGGGGCCAAATAAAAGAAACATCTGACCTCTGTGATTACCAACAAGGGTTTTGCCACCAAGTACTAAGTCAA